ACTTACATGTGAAACAAGCTTGTTCCCTAATTTGAACTAATAAAAAAAAATTAAAAAAAAAAAAAACAAGTGTTTCTGGCAGGGACCACAGGAAAGAACAAGCATGCCCTTCTAATTAAAAGTAAAACCAAATCTATCTGATCCTTTTTGGTTAAAACCTGGATCTAGATGCCACGGTTACCTATGTCTTCCTCTGACTCTTTTGTTCAATGTTGTGTTCATTGTGGCCCTTTCTGGAAATGTTCTGGAAAGAGCTCCTGCCTTTGTGGTAGTCATGTTAGTTATAGTTTCCTTAAGTTGATTTTCCTTTTTCAGGGTATGCTGGCTACCCTGAAAAAGTTTTGTGTAAACTTCACACAAGTCAGTCATTTTGGAAGAGGAAACCTCTTTGAGGAAAATGCCCCCACCAGATTGGCCTAGGGTGCATTTTCTGGTTGATGTGGAAGGGCCCAGCCTACTTTGGGTGGTGCAAGTCTGGGCAAGTGGTCCTGTATGCTGTAAGAAAGCAGGGGCCAGTGTGGTGGTGTACACTATTAGTCCCAGCAGAGGCAGGTAGATCTCTGTAAGTTCGAAGCCAGCTTGGCACACATAGTGAGTACCAGAACAGCCAGGACTGCCAGAGAGACCCTGTCACACATGCAAAAAAATAAGCCATGGGGAGAAAGCCAGTAAGCAGTGTTTTTGCATGGTCTCCACTTCAGTTCCTGCCTCCAGGTTCCTGCCCTGACTTCTTTCATGACTGTGATGTGAAAAGTGGAAGTAAACACACATTCTCTCTCTCTCTCTCTCTCTCTCTCTCTCTCTCTCTCTCTCTGAGTTGCTTTTTTTGTCATGGTGTTTTATCACAACAATAGAAACCATAAAATATATGGTTTAGAATTGTAAAATTAGAACCCCAATCTAGTTTTCTAGTATCTAATGACAGTTTCATTTAGCTATTATTATAAGAGAGTAAAACTGATTTCAGTTACTGAATTATTCCTAAAGAGCTACCCCTGCTTAAAATTGTTGCCACTGCTGTTTTTCCCAGTGGTTATTACTTTTTCATCATATACTTAGCCAAACCAGGGCAGTGTAGCATTGGTGGACAGATAGATGATTGACCCACACAGGACAGTAGAACCATTTTTTTTTTTTTTTAAAGCATGGAAACTTTCTTTTCATCAGCCTCAAGCAGCATTTGAGGAACTAGAATATATGAGAGTCTTTCTCAAGTGATGAGTTTTTGATAAGTTTTTCCTTATTTATGACTGTTTTAATTGTAAAATACACATTAAATTTGCCATTAATATACATACAATATTGTATGCCTATCACCATCCATTACATATTTCCAAAATATTTTCTGAGCTCAAAAGTTTACCCTGTGTCTGTGAAGTAGTCATTCTCTTGGTTTCTCCTACCCTAGCTCCTGAGAGCTTCTAATCTAGTTTTTATCTCTCTGGATCTATTATGTAGATTATTTCACGTAATAGAGCCATACAATATATGTCTGGCTTAATGTAATGTCCTCAAAATTTGTCTACACGGTGGCATGTCATTTTTGAATGATACTCCATTGCATATATGTACCATAGTTGATTTATCTGTTCGTCATGTATTTGAGTTGCTTACACCATTTGGGTATTGTGAATAGTGCTACTATGAGCATTCATGTATACATTTTGTTTGTTTGTTTGTTTGGATTATCTTTTTTCTAGTTCTTTTGAGTGTAGAGTTAGTACTGCTGTGTTTTAGCTTTTTGAGGTACTCACCTGTCATAAAATAATGTTTCATCTTCTGTTCCAGCTAGTGATGTACAGGGGTTGATTTCTCCACGTCTTAGCCATTGTTTATCACCTGTCTTTTGTATTACAACCATCCTAATTGGCAGGGGGGGGGGGGGGGGGGGGGGGGGGGTGATTATTTTTGAGATTGTAATAATTACATCATTTTCCCCCTTCCCTCCAACTGTTCCCTTGTACCCCTCAAGTTTTTGGTCTTTTTTTACACAAAACTATTTGAACAACAAGGATATTAACAGTAATACGTATGCCTGTAAGTGTGTGTTTGTGTGTGTGTGTGTGTGTGTGTGTGTGTGTGTGTGTGTGTGTGTGTGATTAAATATATAAATACAGGTCAGGCAGTGCTGTCAAATGCCTTTTAATCCTAGCACTTGGGAAGCAGAGGAGTGAGTTCAAACACAGCCTGGTCTACAGAGCTAGTTCCAGGACATCCAGGACTATGCAGAGAAACACTGTCTCAGAAAACAAACAAAAAACACCACCAACAACAAATACATATTTCCTGTTCAGTTTCTATACTGTTGCTTGTACGGTGTGTTAGTACGTCTGTTGGTGTTGCCCTTTGTCTTAGTTAGGGTTTCTGTAGCTGTGAAGAAACATCATGACCATGGCAACTCTTAAAGGAAAACATTTAATAGAGTGGCTTACATGGTGGGACATGGTAGCATACAGGAAGACATGATGCTGCAGAGGTAGATGAGAATTCTACATCTTGTGCAGGCAACAGGAAGTGGACTGAGATACTGGGCATGGCTTGAGCATATATGAGAACTCAAAGCCTACCCCCACAGTAACACACTTCCTCTAACAAGACCATACCTACTTCAACAAAACCATACCTAATTTTAGAGAAAAAATCTGGCACTAGGAAAATGTCCAGAGATCCGCAAGGATGACCCCAGCTAAGAATCTAAGCAATAGTGGAGAGGCTATAAATGAGACTGATGACTACCTTAAATGCCATCCTAGAGCCTTCATCCAGTACCTGGTGGAAGCAGAAGCAGACACCGACAGCTAAGCATTGAGCTGAACTCTGGAATCCAGTTGTAGAGATGGAGGAGTGATGAGCAAAGGAGTCAAGACCATGCTGGAGAAACCCACAGAAACAGTTGACCTGACCAAGTGGGAGCACAGAGACCCCAGTGGTAAAACTAGGGAACCAGCACTGGACCGATCCAAGCCTTCTGAATGTGGGTGTCAGTTAGGAGGCCTGGGAAGTCTATGGACCTCTTACAGTGGAACCAGTATTTATCCCTAGTGCACAAATGGACTTTGGGAGTCCATTCCCCATGGAGTGATACTCTCTCAGCCTAGGCCCTCCCTCAAATGATATGACAGACTATGATGATCCCCGTGGAAGGTCTCACCCTCCCTGGGGAGTGCGTGGAGGGGCATGGGAGGATGGGAGGGAGAGGACTAGGATTGATAGTAAAATGAGATTGTCTCTAAATAAAAATAAACTAATAAATAAAACAAAGCCACACTTAATAGTATCACACTTCCTATGAGCTTATGAGGACAAATTACATTCAAGCCACCATACCCCTGTTGATTTGCATTTGCCAGACGGTTAGTATTGAGCACTTTCCAAGTACTTACTGCCATTTGTGTATCTTTGGAGAATTGTAGGCTAGGCCGTGTTTTTCATGTTTAACTCTCAGTATCCCTTATTTATTACTCGAGATGTTAGTTTGTCAAGTTTCACGAATTTTACCTGTTCTCTGGGTTACCTTTTGCTTTCTTTGACAAATGGATTTTAATTTTGTTGAAGTCCAGCTCATCTGCATATTTTCATCTATTGTTTATAGTTTGGATGTCTATCTAAAACTCAACAGTCAAATCTAGAGTCTTGAAGATCCTCTTTCATGTTTTCTTCCAAGAGTCTTTTATAGTTTCACGTTCAGGCTTAGGTCTGTTGTCTTTTCTGATTCGTTTTTGAACACAGGTCAGCCGAATGCTTTACTTTTCACTTGGATAGCCTGGTTTCCAATGCCATTATTGATGACACTGTTCTTTTCATAAGGAAATGTCTAAGTGCCCTACTCAAAATCAGTTGATTATTGATGCATGGATTTATTTCTGGACTTTGGCTTCTATTTCATTCATCTATATCGTCTGTTCTTTTACAAGTACCATACTGAATTTGATTCCTGTAATTAGTTATTAAGTTTTAGGATCAGAAAATGTGATCGTCGAACCTAACTTGATTTTGTTCATCATTTGACATTTTGTCATATTAATTTCTATGCTGTCTCATCTTACTATGCACTTTAAGGGCATACATTTTCTTCAAACTACTCCATCAGTATATCCCACAAGTCTTAATTTTTGTTGATTTAATTCAGCTGTCATTTTTTGTAGTTCTTTTTGTTTGCAGTTTTTAGTTCCAATTAATACATGGTTTAGCTATGTCATTGTTTAGAAAGTCTGTCACATACCAATTTTAATTTTAGTGCTAGGGATCAATGTTACAAATAGTTTTGTAAACTATGATTGTTCCAGTGTTTAAATTATACATTTTTATGTTTGTGTCTGGAGTTTCCTAGTAAAATTAGAAGATTAACCCTTTCAGATACTAAGATATAATTAAAATACAAAAAAACTTGTAATATTAGAAAAGGGTAGAAAATAGGCAAAGAATAGTGAGCCTAGAACCACCTGTCCTCTGTGCATATGAGTAATTCCTACATTACAGAATACTGTTGCAGGCAGTCCTTAAAGATGGTTGCCCTTCAGCTAACATTACCCAGATAGTTGGATATACATGGAATAAAAATTGGATGTCTTCTTCACACCAAACAAAGATCAGTTCTAAACAGATTCTTAATCAAGATTCCAAAAGCACTGGCCTTGCAGAATGGGGGATGATTGGTTATTTGCAATACCTAGCTTGAAAGGCCCTTTACCAAGAAAATGTAAAGAACTTTAACAAATCAACTAGAAAAAAGATGAGGAAAATTGACAGGTAAATAGACAGGAAATATGCCCTGTCTTATTAGTACTTAGAAAAGTTCAAATTGAAATCTTAAAAAAACAAACAAAAAACCCTTAGAGTTAAGAGTTGGTACTTTCAGTTGGGAACTAATTTTCTGTCACCTAGTAAAGTTGGAGGTTTGCTTATCCATCCTGTGAAACAACAGTTAACTCCCAGACTTGCTAAAAAATGGGGCAAATACTTCAAAGTATAAGCAGATGTGGGCATGCTATAGCATCACTTTGATCACAGTGTATTCATACAATGGAATATGATTCCAACAAGGTATATGATGAACTAGTTACACATATGCATTAGTCATGGTAATAGTGGACTCTGTTCGGGTCCACCGTATCACTGCCCTTCTAATCAATCACATGATGGGAATTCTTCTACTTTAGATTCTTGTTCATTTAATGTATATCCACTTCACAAATCTATTGATTTCTTACAGTACTGATCAAATCTTTTCCTAATTTCCATTGACCTTGCCAAGTTCTCCAGGCTCTGTAGTATAGAAAAAAGTCTGCCCTACCTTCCTAGAGTTACTTCTGGCAGAATCTTTTGTGAAATGTTTGCACAGTCAAACCAGCTATTTGCTCTTTAAACAGTTGCTGGTTTTGTTATGTATTCCTTTCCTCCCACAATTCACTCCCTTTACTTCTAAACAGTGAATCTCAGAAAGAAAAATACCTAATTATCTGTTTTTCAGACTAAATCCTTAGCTGAGATATCTGTAACATTAGTGCATTTGTGTCTTTTCTGACTCTTGTTTCTGCCTTCTTAGATTTGTGTATCATAACCTAGTCTCTGTGTTCTTTGGATCCAGTCCTGTTTCCCTTCATAGGAAAGATACAAATTAAAACACATTTTCTTGTTACCTACTCCTCTAGTTTTTTGGATAATGTGCCTGAAATCATTACATTTTGAAAGTAAACGCAGTCATACCAATGATTTGTAATCTGAAAACATTAATTTGTAGATGAGAAAAAAATGTACCTCCTAATTGGGAGTGAACCCCACAGTGTTTTACTTTTTCAAGTGATTTGTATCTTCTAACAGTTTCAGACCTAATTTTTTTACTTTCATAAGCAATGGAGTTGATTTGAGTACTCTAAAGAGTTTTTCATTCACCTTACCAGTTTATTTGGGTTTTTGTTGTTGTTTGGTTTGGGTTTGTTTGTTTTTTTGTTTGTTTTTACTTATTTTACATCTTTTACGTTTCCTGAGGACCCTGACTTTTTTGGTTTACATCAGCCCTGCAGGTGAGTTGGATGATAGTGCAGTAGGACCACAGTACACACACACGCACACGCTCACACACGCACCCTGGTTCTTCATAGAAGGTCAGGCTGACTGAGCTTCTAAGGTCCTGGCCCTCTACCAATGGCTCGCCATCCCCTGTTCTGTTTGCTGTCTGCTCTCCTTCAGGCTTTTATGTTTTGTAATGTCTTTAAATTCAGGTTATATAGTTAAAAAATAAAAATGTAAAAAGGCAAAACACACCATGAGTGTTTATATTTTCATCTTTACTTTCCTCTAATATCTGATTTCCATTTGAATTTATTCTGACATTCATTTTTCTTGACACCTTCTTGGTTTTCTGCTGTTATTTATACAGTTACCAGTAACATTGGCCTTACAATTAAATTTACTATTATCCACTAGGTGGCTCATGTGCACCACTTTTGGTTGCTCAAATTGACATTTGCCAGCTATTCATCAAATTATAAGTAAAGACAGTGCATTACATACTTAGAAGATTTTATATTTTACTTTTAACAACTGATTTGGAGCAGACATGGTGGTGTTCTTCTGTATTCCTAGCACTTAGGAGGTGGAATTAGGAAAATTGTGAGTGTGAGGCCAGCCTGAACTATACATGTATTAAGTGCTGAACTAGGTTACAGTTTCTCTTTTTGAGGTGGTGAAATGGGGTCTTGATATTGCAGCACAAACTGGTCTGTAACTCTTCATGTTGACCAGGCTGGACTTGAACATATATGATCCTCCTGCCTCTACCTCTACAGTGCTGGAATTACAGACTCAGGTCCCCATGCTTTGTCTTTGTCTTTATAAAAGTTTCTTGATTGATCATTGAGATTTTTTAGATGTAAAATAGAAAAATATGGAAAGTGGAAAATATGATCATTACAAGTTTTCTTAAGGAAACAATTGAAATAACAATAACAAACAGTTTTAAATGTTATAAAAGTAGTAGTTAATGTCTGTGCATGTATAGAATCATTTTTCTAGCTTGGTAGTCTTTGGTTCTTTTTGCTGTTAAATTGCTATGCAGTCTTAACAATTTTGGGAGTTCTATCCTATGTATTCGTAGAAAAATAATTATAACTTCTGACTGAACCACTGTTGTAACTTTATGCTTAACATGTCATCCTCACCGGGCAGTGGTGGCACACTCCTTTAATCCCAGCACTCAGGAGGCAGAGGCAGGTGGATCTCTGTGAGTTAAGAGACCAGCCTAGTTTACAAGAGCTAGTTCCAGGACAGCCTCCCAAGCCACAAAGAAACCTTGTCTTGAAAAAAAAAAAAAAAAAAAAAAAAAAAAAAAAAAAAAAGATGTCATCCTCTCATGACTGTGAGTAAATTTACATCCCTCATGACATGTTAAAAGTGATCTTACATATTGACTGTATACTGAGATTTTTTATTCCTTTCTATGAATTATCAAGTATTGACACATTTATACCATGTTGCCATGTATGAAAATTCCCAGATTTTGATAATTTTTGTTAACTAAGATAATGGTAAAGAGATTTCATATTCCATCCTTTGGAGGAAATGTGAGAGTATTTCTTGTCAATAAAGAATCTTTGGCAAATTATTTTTGTCTACTGATTTCCTGACATCTTAGTGTTGGAATCTTGTGTAACCCAAAAATGTTTAGATATACGAAAGGAACTGCCAGCTGTCAAGCTATGAGCATGTTTAATGATTTACAGTTGTGGCATGGTAATTAGGTTATTGAATCAACTTAATCTAAATGTTAATTACATAGTCCATTATTCAGTCACTTCTGAGTTTTATACTACAGGGTTACAATATATAGTTATGCTCCATCATGGGACTCAGTTTGGAAAATACTGCCATGCAGATTGAAAAAGTTTTACCTTAGGTGTAGTTTCTAAAACTGGATATTAAGCAGGTTTATTGTAGGTTAGTGGCAGCCTCCTTGTAAACAAGCAGACAGCAAAA